GTGTGTGTGTGTGTGTGTGTGTGTGTGTGTGTGTGTGGTGTGTATTGGGGATTGAACCCAGAGCCTTCGTGGCACTGAGCTACATCCCCAGCCCTTTTACAAAGCATATTTTTATTTTGAGATCGCAACTTGCTAAGAAGTTAAGTTGCCCAGGCTGCGTTCAGACTTGGGATCCTCTCGTCTCAGCCTCCCACAGCGCCAGGGTTCCAGGCCAGCGCCGCCACATCCCACCTGAATACCCTATTCTTTGCTGCAATGCATGGCCATAGGAAGGTCTCAACGCCTACGTAGTAGACAGACAGTTGACCTGAACATGCGAAGCCAGGGGAGCTGGTGGGGAAACCGAGGTAGGGGTGGGAAGAGGAGCCTGGAGGAGGAGGTGGAAACACTGGGATGTCCCTTCCTTGGAGCCGCGGCACAGAAGAGCTGTTCCCGAGGGCTGGGACGGGGGCCTGGGCCTCGCGACAGCGCGGGGAGGGTGCCCCGGCTCGCGGTGGAAACGTTGGTGGCCTGGATCCTCCCCTCCGGAGGCCTGTGTCCCTCTCGTCCTCCTTAGCGCCGCCAGCGTGGGGCCACAGCGCGGCTGGTGCTGGTGTTCTTCAGCTTTCCCCAGGTGAGCGCAGGCGCCGTTTCCTTCAAGTACCCAACACCTTTATTGAGGTGTCGTCTCCTGGGGTCTTTTCTTGTTTTAACCCAGTGCTTCCTGTCACACCAAAGGTCCCTGCCTGCCTTGAAGAAGGAGTCTTGGCCCCACGCTGGAAAGTTTATGCTGTCCTCCAGAGAGCACGAGTGATGTCATTCTGAAAATTAAGCATCGTTGTAGGCAGGTCTGGACCATTAGTCTGGATGCAAATGAACGTGTAGAAAGCTCTCCATTCCTCTTCAGAAAAAAGACACAAGATTGTTTAAGCAACCAGAGCTTCTGACTGCTTCCCTTCTTTGGGCTTGTTAGGAGGGTAAGATGGGGCAACAGCTCTGAGAACCCCATGGAGCCCAGCAGGAACAGGGCTGTCTGTGAACTGAGTTCCCTCCCCCCACCCCGGCCGCCCCCGTCTCCCTCCCCATCTCTCTCTCTCTCCCCTGTGGCTTCTGATATTTGGAACAGCACATTAGGAGGCTGTCTGCATAGAGAAAGACAACATGATTCAAATTTCCTTGAAGTGATTTGCATTTTTCTTCCTTTTTCCTGTGAGAGCAGAGAAATGGCAAGCAAAAAGCGAGGTGAAGTACAGTTACAGGTGGGTAGGACACCTTATCAGTGCAGCACCTGGTACCCTAGCAGCTGAAGACCTTTCACAGAACCTTGTGTCTTAGTTATTTTTCTCGTTGGTGGGATAAAATATTCAGCACTCAAAGTTAAAGGAGGAAAGGTTTATTTTCGCTCACACTTTGTAGAGGTTTCAGTTCATAACTGGCTGGCTCCAACTCACGGCAGCATGGCACAGGGACATGTCAGAGGAGAAACAGTCCATAGCAGGACAGGCAGGAAGGAAGTAGCAACCAGCAGCAGCAAGCTGTCCTTCTTTTCCCCTTATAGTCTATCCATCCAAGCTATAAACCTATTGGTTGGTGCCACCCACACCCAGGATGGGGCTTCCATTACTCATACCCAGAACTGTGCTACACCCATTTAGTTATCACACAGCCTTAATCCCAGTGTCCCACTATACAGATCCAGACAAATCTGAGAAGCCCCACCTATGAGCACATGAGGCTTTGGAGGGACATCTATATACAAGGCATAACAGCTTGGTTTTTGCAGACAGTCATCAACAGTCAAAGCCTGTGGGAAGAAATGCTGCAGAACAAAGGATTAACAGGTACCGGGGTCCCATGGTCCCAGGTCACTTCAGAGCCACCCCCTCCCCAGCCTCCAACCTGAAATCCTGCTCTCTTGGCCTTGATCTTGGCCTCTATCCAAGCTGGGGCTACACTGGCATCTAGGTTCTGTGCTTCTGTTTTTTCATGAGTTCTGTTACCACATAGTGATTGATGTTTACCAAGCCTGGTGTGGACCCTGCACAGCCATGCAGCCTTTGTTCAGAAAACTGAAAAATGAAACAAATGAAGAAAAAATTCTGCATTTTGTTGTTGTAAGGATTTCATTTTCATTGAACTACTGATTCTTTGTTACAGTGTTGAAATGTCCACTAATACTTTTAAGTATTGTCTTAATTCAAGCAACCTGTTAATTCTTCAGCATTGACTGCCCACTTGGCAATTTTACTTTGTATTTAGTTCTACAAGGTCTGAGAATGAATGTGATTCTTATCTGAGTCCTACAATGTTGGGGTTACTCACTCTGATTGCAAAACTTACAAAATAATGAAAATGGATCCACATCTCTTCATCTGTTTGTTGTCACCTGACCATATGCTTGGTGTGTGCCCATTGGAGTAAGACTTGCAAAAGCAGTTTTGGGGATCTCACAGAATATACCCTGGTCATTTATCAATTACCAAATTTTATAGTGAAAATGATTTTCCCTTCCTTATTGATTACCCAAATGTGATAAGAGATTAAAGTGTTGTAGGCAGACTCAATTGACTTAACTACATTGATTATTCAAGGCATCCACAACAAATTATTAGCTGGTTAGATCTTTGTTATCCAGTATGGTGGCTGCCAGACATGAACAGCTATGCAGTACCCGGAGTGTAGCTAGATCAACAAAGGAACTAACTTCTTCATTTTGAGTAGTTTAAATTTAAAATAGTCAATTATGGTAAAGCTTTTAATGCTTGGGATAATGTGAATCTACTTTCTGATAAAATATTTTTATGCTGTACTGGGAACCTTGTGTTGCCAGGCAGGCGAAGCACCACTGAGTTATATCCCCAGCCCAATAAAAAAGTTAAAGATCAATTATTGACTATGAATTATTAATTATAAAGGCCAATAAAGAAGATATGCTCTAAGTATAAAATATAAACCACATTTTAAGATTTAATGTGGAAAAAGAATGTGAAATATACCATTAATTTTTTACATTGTTACATGTTCAAGTGATAACGTTTTGGATGCATTGGGTTAAGGAAAATATATTATTACATTGTTTTTACCTGTTTCCTTTGTGTTTTTCCATGTGGCTACTAGTGAATTTAAAAGTATATGGCAAAAAAAAGTATATGACTCAATTGGCTCAATTGTTTCTATTTGACTGAAGCATATCCAAACCAGCTAAGACCTAAGATGCAGAAGCACATAATGGATTTACGCTATCTTGACTTATCTCTAAAATACATAGTCCATAAAGCTGACATGCAACCTCAATCCTTGTGTATTGTGGGCACAGGTCTCCCAAGGCCCCTCAAAGCTAATCTTCTCTTGTGTTTGAGTCTCCACTCCCTCTTGCAGACGTGTTCTTTATGGGACTTTGTTTCCTTACTTTAAGGTAACAATATACATTTTAAAGCCTAGAATCTCTCCTTTACCATTTTTCTGTTTAAGAAGATGTATTAGTCAGCTTTCTTGTCACTGTGACAAAATACCTAACATCCAAAACTAAAAGAGGAGAGATTTATTTTGGCTCACAGTTCCAGTCCATGATCAGTTGGCTCCAAGGCAGAAAGGGCAGGTAGAAGGGTCTGGGGAAGGAAAGCTGTCACCCCATGGCAACCAGGAAGCAGAGAGAGAAGGAGGAGCCAGGACAAGAATACTCCCTTTTGGGTCATTCCCCAGTGACCGCCTCCAACCAGGCCCCGCCTCCTATAGCACATTCAGCTGTGAACATCGTATAGTTGGAAGAATGCAGAATGTGATCTGCTTGGATTGATTCCTTTCACTCGATAACATCCATTTAATCTTCCTCCACATCTTTACATGGCCAAATATTATTGCTTTTAGTGCTGTATATATCTCAATTTTTTTGTCTATTTACCATCTGAAGAACATCTTGGTTGCTTCCAAGTTTAAAATAAAGCTATAAACATCTGTTTGCAGATTTTTGTGTGGACGTAAGTTTTCAGCCTAATTTGGGTAAATACCAAGGAGAGTGATTGCTGGATCATATTGTAAAAGTACGTTTCCTTTTGTAAGAAACTGAAACTGTCTTCCAAAGTGCCTATACCATTTTATTCTCCTATCAGCAGTGAATGGAGGAACCACTTGTTCTATATCCTGGACAGTATTTGGTATAAACTGGGTTCTGGATTTGGGGCATTCTAACGAGTCTGTAGCATTTCCTTGATGACATGTGATGTTGGGCCTCTTTCCAGACATTTATTTTCCATCTGTATATATACTTTTGGTTAGGTGTCTGTTAATGTTTTGGGTCCATTTTAAAATTGAACTTTGTTTTGGGGTTTTTTTAATTGTTGACTTTTAAACTTTGTTGTATGTTTTGAATACCACTTCCATGTCAAATACATCTTCTGGAAATATTTTCAGCCAGTCTGTGTCTTGTTTTATTTTTTCAAAGTTTTTTGGAAGGCACGATTCTGTAACAAGCTGCTTTACCCTGAAGAATCAGCCCCATCTGACCTAGACATGATTGCAGGTTTGATTCCTGGCAAGGAGGAGAAGGTGGATCGTCACATGCGGTCAACAAGGGCTTGGTATAAGAAGTGAAAAGACAACAGCGGAAGTGTCTAACAGCTGACAACAGAATCACAGAAAATCAGAGATCAGAAAATTTCTGTGGTAGTCTAACATTCCCATGCCTTTGGCATGTCATAATTTTTTTGTGTTGTGTTGAATTCTTGTGCAACCTGGTGGTTGGAGTTAGGCAAGTTTGTTTGAAAGGGGCAAGAGTCCAAGCTCACACACCAGGGGTTGAGGGAAGCTGCAGTGTCCAACAGGAAGTAGGGGTCTGTCTTGGTTATGGTGGAGGATCAACATGATTGGCTTTGGAGCTGTCTAGGGGATTGGTGGCCCTCACTTCTGAGTATGTCTGGGTGGGTCATAATAGCCTGTGGCCTATATCTGGTCCCTTGCTCACCCTTTCCTTTCTGGGACTGTCCCCCTGCTCTGCTTCCTGGTCACCATGAACTAAGCATCTTTTCTCCATCACTCCTTTCCACCCTGGTGCTCCTACCTTGGAGCCAGATCACCATAGACTAAATCCCCTAAGAATGTGAGCCAAATTAAATCTCTTGTCTGTTAGGTTGTAGGTGTCGAGAACTGTGTGCCAGTGACAGAAAAGTTGACCTATACAGGAACAGTGGGAAGAGACTGGCAACAAGCAGACCCCTGCTCACCTGTTAGCATACCTGGACACTCACCTGTTAGTCTACCTGGGAAGGAACTTGGACATAGAAAAGCCAAATGAGAGAGATCTTTAGACAAGCAGCAAGTGAATTCATACTGTGCTGGCAGAGCTCTGGAGTCATCGAATTTCTGATATTTATAGTCTAAGTAGGAACAAAGCAGAGTACTTATGAATGTGAAGGCCAAGGAGTGTGTTGGAATCAAACCATAGAGTTTGCCAGGCTCCCGTTACAACAGCTCCAGAAGGGAAGCCCTGGTTATAGTAGAGACACTGTGTGGTGATACAGGTGGCTCTCTCTGTCTCTCCTTCTCAAAAAATATATACATACTATATTTTGAATACTGGGGATTGAATCCAGTGTCTTCACACTGAGCTACATCTCAAGCCCTTCTTTATATTTTTATTTCGAGACAAGGTCTTGGCAAGCTGTGTAGTTAGGCTCAAACTTCAGAGGGGGATCTTTCTGCTCCAGTCTCCCAGAAAGCTGGCATTACAGGCATGTGACACCAAGCCTGTCTAAACAGGTGTTTTAACAAGCTATGTCCACCCAGAATCACCTGGGTGAGACAGAATTCCTTAGGCTCTTCCACGGGAATTATTTCCATTTATATATCTGTTTGTGTGAGTCAGCTTTCCATAGCTGAGAAAAATGTACTAAAGCTAGGAAAGGTTTATTTTCCTCTCCTGGTTTGAAAGGCTTCCACGCAGGGTCAGTGGCCTGTGATGAGGCAGACACATCATGGCAGAAAGGCGGTGGAGGAAAGCTGCTCACCTCATGGCAGCTGGGAAGCAGAGAGCGTGAGAGAACAGAGGGTAAGGGGCAGGGGACCAGATATAGTTCCCAAGGACATGCTCCCTCCCATCCACTCCCTTCAACTCTGCCTCAACTCCTCTTTCCATCGTCTGTCAGTAATACTATCATCATAATCTTATCAACAGATAATTCACCTCTGAATTTAGTGTTCTTCTCATAATCCACTTAAAACACCCATCAACTGGTAACCCAGCATTCAACTCAACAAGTTTTTTTGTTCTTGTAACAACCATAGTACTACCGAACCGGGAATGGAAGTTTTCCAAAATAGACCCTATTCAAAGCACTAGTATGTGTTGAATTTAACAACAAAACCCTACACAGTGTCTCTGAATAGTTTATATTCTGTGTGGTTGCACTCTGCAATAGTTCATTTGCATAGATTAATGCTGTTTTTATAAAATGATCTACCTGAAATAGACGTAAAAAAAAAAAATCCAAACCAAAAACGTTGGAACCTCTGCTGTGAGCAACAGTGCAGAGATGCCCTCTGGTGGACATTTTGTTTTCTGCAGTCAGCCAAGGAAAAGAGACCCTTTCGGAAAAGGTAAAGTCCAAAATTAAAACTTGAGGAGTTGATTCATTACTAAAATCACCCCGAGTTGAATAGTCAGTATAAATGCTTTTGCTATGTCCTTTTCCAAAAGATAATATTAAAAATTATAGAATATTTCCATAGTGGCCTCTTGGAAGCTAGGGTGATGGATTCTAGGACCTCTGCAGTTACAAAATCCAAGGGGTGCTTAAATTCTTTATATAAGATGATGTAACCTTTGCAATCTCTAGATTACAGAGATACTCTAGATCAGTTAGGGTGAAGCTTTTAGAGACTGAGCACTCAAACTGTAACCCCAAACCCACTTATTTATCACAATGTGCCAACCCTGCAATTAAACCTGAATACTGAGAGTTTTAGTTTAGAAAAAAAAACCTGTTATCCAATGCTGGGGTGCTGGGGTGACTTGACTTGTGTGTGGACAGCAGGGGCTCTGTGTGCCCCCCATGGCACATGTACCACAGGTTCACCACCACTGCTCTAGATAACGGACATCTATAATACCTAATAAAATGTAAATGCAATGTAAACAGTTGTTATATTGTATCATTTAAGAGTAGTGACAGGACAAATGTTTGTACACATGCAGAACAGATGCACTCTTTTTTCTAATATTTTTTATCCATGGTTGGTTGAATCCATGGATGAAGACCTCTATGGAGGGTTGATACCTGATGATCTCTAGGCTTCATCATTCCAATGTTTTTATTATAATAAAGTATTAATAATAAAATGACTCGATATAATAATAACCATGGTAAATAACGTTTGATTATATACATCATTACATAGGTGTGTATAAAGTGTATACACTGCCAGCTCTGAGTGTCTTTAAGAGGCATGATCTGAAATACGGTGGATGCAGCTGCCCAGTGCCATCCAACAGAAAGGCAGGCTCAGAAGGATATGACTCTGTGTCTTATCCACCTCATGCATTGGGTCTGGCACTGTGTGACTGCTGGCTCTTGCCCAAAGTCAAAATGATCATGAAAAGGAAACATGAGTCATTCAGGATATGGAGACAGCCACAAAAGGGCAACTAAAGAGTCTCCAAAAAACCATCTTCTTCCCCTTTCATCCATTTTGCCATATCTGTCATCCATTTTGGTCCTGAGAGGGAGCAAGGGGAGGAAGGGAAAAGGAAAAAAAAGAATACAAGGGAAATATGGAAACAAAGCTCTTGTAAATAAGGAGGGGAAGAAGAGTTGAAGGGAGGGGAGGGAAATAGGGGGAGAAAAGAAGAATCAATGTATATTATGTACAGGTACAAATTCCCTATGATGAACGTGATCATTATGCATATCACGTGTATGAATGAAATTAACTTAAAAATAAAAATAGGATCAACTGCAAAAAAAGAAAGAGGACTTCTAGAACTTCTTCAGAAAGTGGCAAGAATGATGGGATAAGTGTGCTCAAAGCAAGGGGCACAATTTTGAGGCGGATTAGTAGCAATGTGTCTTTCACTGTGATATTTTCTTTTAAATTTAGACACATACCTTATCTTTTTACCATACTGTGGATTCTGAGGAAGAGCTGAGGTACGAAGGCCCATCGGAAGCATGTTTTACCTGTGCACAGGACTCTCCTAACAGGAGGAGGCAGGTGCACACCCACATAAAGAGTACAGGATTGAAAGGGAGAGTGAGTGCCCCTGGGAGTGGGTAGTCAAGTATGGGGTGGCAGGAAAAATGCTTTGCAGCAGGAGAGAGTCAGATGGACACTTTGGAAGAAGCATCCTTGAGCTGAGTTGGAAAATGAAGGGCAGAACCAAGCAATGAAGAAGGAAAAGACAAAGAGATGACTTAGGCTGGGTACCATAATGGAAACAGAGAGAGGGAGAGTTGACATCAGAGGAGGGGAGGCAAGGCTTGATTTGCCACTTTGTGCAATTTGATCCTTAATACAATGGTAATATACCCAGAAAATGTTGTAGTAAACATAAAATTGTATTATCTCTGCATTCGTTAACATAGTGTATTAAAGGACTTTCACATAGTTTCCTTATCATTATATAAAACATTTACTTTTTTCAGGCAGAAGCTGACAATATTGTGACTTTGCAATCATTTAGAGACAAATGTGAACCTGTTTTTCTCTTTAGTGTTGTAAGTATAGCACTTGTCTCAATTATATTGCAGATTCCCTTTTGCAGTTAAAGAGCAAGTAGCACTATAAGATTGTCATGGAGCTTTTGCTGGTGATAGCAATTGCACATTGCTGTATCTGATTGTCTATTAATATAATTCATAATATGACATTTAGGAGCTTGTAATGGGTTGAAGAGCTTAAACTATAAACACTGAGCTAATCAGAGAAAAGTAAAATAACATGGTGTTTACCTATACTAAGGAAATCATCAGAGATTTGTACAAAGAAGTATTTACAGGAAAGAAAAATGGAAATTTCTCAAGCAGGAGAAAAATGGCTATAAATATTCATATATACCCACACAAGAAAATAACTGTATGATCATTATTTTGGGATACATATTAAGTTTACCTCTACAAATGTAAAGGAAGAAGACATAAAGTTTAGTCACCCAAATTTTCTAGCAATTTTTTATGTATGTTGGAAGGATGCATACATTTTTCTTCATTGCACATCTTTTTATTTTCTACTCTATGACAAACACACAACTTTAATGATCAGAAAACCATCATAAGCTATTTTCTAAAAGCCGAGCTGTACTGTCTCACTGTGTGATGTTTACAACTCACTTAGGCAGTTAGGAGATCTTTGACCATGTTTGCTTTTTCTTTCCTCCCTCCACTTACCACTGCCTCCCTTAGCAGATTTTCTCTGCAGCCCAGGAGTGATGACATTTTTTTCAGATGAAGTTTCTCAGGCCAGGAGTAGAGTTACTTTTTCTCCTACTTCCTCTTACTTCTTTCCTAATTCCTGTTGCCTTGCTTATTAGAAATCTGTTTTATTTGGCAACATTTCCTCCTCCTCCTTCTCCTCCTCTTTCCTGTTGCTTGATGGCCTTCAAAACATTTCTACTGATGACTGAAGGCTTTGGCACATGCTCCAAGACTTGTTCTCAAACCCAAGGCCCACCATCATCTTAGGGACGTCAGTATTCACATCTGCAGTCTACCTAATCTCCTGGCCTTCCCGGTTTTTGACCTCCTCATTGAGAATGACCCTTTTCTTCCAGTGTATCTCATTCAATCACTCCTGTATTCACACCTCTGGCATTTTTACCACCCGACGTTGCACTTCCATGACCATTAAATTAAGAATCTCATTATTTGATCACAAAAGCACTCTAAAGCTTATTGCTTGGTCATTCACATATTCCCACAGTGGCCCTTTGAAGCTTTCTTGGCTCATGACAGATTTCTTCTAGCAAGTTTCAGCAAGAATGGCTTCTTTTCAAGGGAAATGTTGAAAAATTCCTTTTACTGGGAAGTGATAATTAGAGTTTCTGCTTCCATTTAAACCTTTCTCGACTTCATCCTTCTCACTGGCCTTTGAATATGATTAAATCATTTAAATTTTTAAAAATTTCATTCTGATATCATGCCCCTCTCCCGCTACTTCTCCATTTCTCTTATTTGCCTTACAGCTAAGTTGCTCAAAAGTTTCTATATTTATTTTTATTGCATTTCTTCCTATTCCATCTATGCCTCAGCACATTCAATCTGGCTTCTGTGTGATTATTCAACCAAAATGGCTATTGCTAATATATTCATTACAAGCCTGTTGCTAAATGGGCATTTTTAGGTCTTCACCGTTGCGTACCTCTCAGATGTGTTTCAGTTGTGACCATGCCCTCTTTCTTAACCTTGAGGGGCTTGGCTCTCCTTTCACCTTCCTGGATGCTTCTTCCCCTCATCTCTTTTGCCCTCATCCTTTTTCATTTAGCTATTATATACCAATACTGACCTAAGAAAATGCCCTCTATGCACCCTCACAATTGTCAACAACTCAAGATTTCATCCTCAGCTAACTTCTATTTCCAACTCCACACTTGTGTACCCAGCTTGACACCTGTCGGTTTTTGCAAAAATCCTATCTTGCTACAAACTCATCCAGCACCAGGTCCTCCTCCCCCCAAAATGTGATCCTCTTCTAGTGATTCCTCATTTGGAAAATAGCATGGTGATTCACGATTTATACAGTCTTCGAGTGAGAAATAGAAGAAACATCTCATTGACATCTTTTTCCATCACATTCAATCCAAGCCACTATATGGACCTGCCAATTCCACCCCCCAAGGCACATGTACCTGCTTCCTGCCATTTGCTCCACCTCTCCATAGACTGAGAGATCATTGTCTGCCATCTCACCTCTAGAGTAGCTCCTAACTTTTCCACAAGCATTATCTCCTTAAACTCTTCCTTCCCAACTTTTTCTCCACACAGCAGGAGAAAAGATCTTTACAAGCAATGATTCTAACCATGGCTGAAGCTTCTGTTTAACAGTCCTCTGCACACAAGGTGTAGGCTTCATCCACACCTGGGACCACAGGCTCTGCAGCATCTGATGCCTTCTGGTGTTGGGTCTCATCACCTACTAGTTCTCTCTCACTTTCTCGGCTGGCCTCCACATTGCCCTGCCTCCCTCCAGCCTCATATCTTACATCTGCTATGCCTTGTGCCTAGAACGCTCTTCCTTCTCCTTTTTGTCTCATTATCTCTTGGCCTTCTTTCCTATTTTAAGCAAAGAATCACCTCCTGATACTGAGAAGAATCACTTCCTGATACTGAGAAGTGCCATTCTGGCAGGTGCTCTGAGTGATTTGCACCTGTTATAGTGATATCTAATTGGGATTGCTATACATTTGTTTGGCCTCTCTTTTTTTACAGTTGAGTTAGGTACCAGAGCCCTGATTCCATAGGATGGTGTCTGGTCCCTTCAGAGTAAGCAGATGCTTAGGAAGCATGAAGTGAAAGGCAGCCAAAATGGGAGTGGCCTCAGGAGGACAGTGTTGGAAACACTGGAAACAGTGGAACATCTGGACACATTGCATGTCTCTGCTCTTGTATGTCAATGATCTGCTGCAGTGTCCTGCTGGGGGACACAGCCATGGCTTTGGCTACAGGAAGACAGTCAACCTGGAAGTAAAACTCAAGGAACTGGGTTTACTAAATCTAAAGGTCATTTCAGGTCATTATTGACTTACTTTAAAATGACTCATAACTATAGCTAAAAGAGGATTGATGAGGAAGAGGGTCAGGGAGGGGCAAATTTGTCCAGATTATCCTTTCTTGACTTGTTCTGAAAATAACTGTTTCATGTTTTCTTTTCCTTTATACACAGAATGGCAAAATTATTGCAAAGATTCAGGGTGCAAATGCACCACTAGTTAATAAAAAAGTTATTACCTTGATCAATGAAGAGAAGAAGATTGCAGCAGGCGAAATGGTTCGCCCTCAGGTAATACTGTGGATATGATGACTATCTTAATTTTTAAAATGCATTACCTTTTTTGTTGTTCTGCTAACATATTTTCCTAACTTCATGTGTTAGTCAGCTTTCCGTAACTGTGGCCAAATACCTGAGAAAATCAATTGATAAGGAGGAAAAGTATAGTTTGGCTCATGGGTTCAGAGATTGCAGTATGTGATCATTTTGTGTCTTAGTAATTTTCTCATCATGGGACAAAATACTCAACACCCACAACTTCAGGGAGGGGAGGTGTATGTTGGCTCTTATTTTCAGTCCATGGATGGCTGGCTTCAAGGCACGAAGAGGATGGTAAATGGCCTGGTGCAAGAAAGCTGCTTACATCATGGTATCCAAGAAGAGGAAAGAGCAGGGAGGAGGTGGAGAGGGAGATGTATCTTCCAGGTCACACCTCCAGTGACCCACCTCCAACCAGACCTCATCTCTGAACAGCATGTTAGCTATAGCACCATCATGATCCAGTTGTCTTCCAAAACCCCCACCTCTAAACACATGAGACTTTGGGCAGACATTCTAGATCTAAACCATAATGCTTGGCCCCATTGCTTTGGGGCTGTGGTGAGGCAGGGCATCATGTCAGGGAACTCATGCTGGAACTCATGGAGGCTGGAAAGCAAAAAAGAGAGAGGACAGGAAGAGAACAGTGTCCCACAATCCCCTTCAAGGGCATTCCCCCAATGACCTAACTTCCTCCCACTAAGCTCATCCTCTTAAAGGTTCTATCACCTGTCATTAGTGCCACAAACTGGGAACCAAACCCTTAATACATGGGTCTTGGGGGACACTTATCTAAACCATAGCACTTTATGACTACCTAGATAACTAAAGGTATAAAGGTACTTTTCAAATTTACCTTCAATACCTTGGGTTATAAATATTTACTGAAAACAAACTTTCTAACCCCCTTTTTTATCATGTTATTAAGACAACTGTATTTTACTTGCATTTCTCTTTCACAGTACCCTGATATTCTGCTCATAGAGTTAGAAAAGACTAGGAAAAAACCTGAAAGTAAGTACATTTACTTTATAGTAATGGCAAGGGTTTTCTGTTTATGTGTGTTCATTATAGCATCACTAGTAGCAGCACAAAGCTAGTAGTGACAGCAGTGTTAATCAATAAGGGACACTGGGATAAATGATGATTGATGCATTGCAGGGTTGAGGTATTAAAAGGCACCCTCATTTTCTCTCCTTGCCTCATAGTTTTGGTCTCTAAGCAAAGACTTTCAAAGGTTAACCAAGGTAGCCAGCTGTGGTGGCACAAGCCTGTAATCCCAGCACTCTGGGAGCCTGAAGGAAGAAAATCACAAGTTTTTTTTAATTTAATGATTTAGTGAGTTTATGTCTCAAAAATAAAAAAAATAGGCTAATAAGAACCAAGATACATCATGTACAGGTACAAGCACCCAATGATAAATGTAAATGTATTGTATACCTAAAATGTACCAATAAAAGAATTTAAGCAAAAAAGGGACTAAGGATATAGCTCAGTGTGAAGGTCTTGGTTTCAATCCCAAGTGCTTTAAAAAGAAAATTAAACAGGTTTATGGATTCCTATGTCCTGCAACTAATTTAGACAGCACTTTCCTAGTTTATCCTTTCAAATATTTGTGAAAAATGATTTCTTCTGATGACAATGCTCTTGGTTTACTTTGCAGTTAACAGTTCCATACCTTCATGTGATTGTGTGTGTGTGTGTGTGTGTGTGTGTGTGTGTGTGTTCATTCTCTGGAGGGAGCAAAGGCAGACAGACATGCTCAGTGAATTTTTGTACTAAAAATTTATCATAAGAATGTAGATAAATTTGCAGGTGGAAATTCTATCCATTCGTAATCTTGCATAGTGCATGCTTGAAGCTTCACTCACGAAGGTACTGAGCTGGATGGATCATGTGGTGATTCACATGCATGTGAATGACATTAAATCTACCAGCACCTACTTTTGCAATGTTTTTTGCCTCTTGATGAAAATCTCTTGTGACTGTTTCCCCTGCATGCAAATATATATCTTGTCCTTTTATTCTAAGTAGAAACACTGTAGTACTTGAAAGGCCATAATTAGATGTCATGCTATCAAGGATCAGAAATTCACTGAACATCAGGAATTTACACTTAAAATTGTCAGATCCTTCAGGACCTCACCTTTGTCCCAATAAAATAAGATTATTTTTTCCCTAGGGGAAAGGTATAGTATTGCTATTATCAAGCCAGATGCTGTGCTTAAAAGGAAAGCTCAAGAGATTAAAGAAAAAGTAAGTAGTATTTATCAACAATAACTTAATTTCAAAGTAACAACACCTTGACTGTCAAGTTGGAGCCAAGCTTATAACTCAAAATAAAACAGAATACAATGAACAACTGGCACTCAGTACTGTGATAGCCAACCCGACTCCATCTTGTGCCTCAAGTCCATTTTGTACCTGTGTTTGATCAAAGCACCCAAAACCCCCACATCCTCCTTGGCAGTAAACTTGCTGCAGTTGCAGGATGTTTTGTAGCTCATCTAGTGTGTGTGAAACTTCCTTGTACCGCTCACTAATGAGGCATAGTTCTGCTTCTGTAAGATTCCCCTTGGTCTTCCCTGAGCAACTGAAAGCATGATTTAAAAGGAGAAATCAAGCCATTTCCCATTGCCGAGGGAACTTTCTGGGCGCTAGCCCCCTTGACCGCTGGCTATAATAAATGGGCTCAAATCTGGCGCAGAGTGTGGTGCATTCAATTGTTCTAACTCACTTGTCCATAACAGCACTTGTAACGGCTTGGAGCATTCTACACACTTACAAAGTGTCTATCTCCTCATGCATCCTCCTTTTAAAAAACCCTACTCTACCAGTTAAAGATGTAAATTATAAATTATAATTCTTATATTGTAATATGTTCTTTTTGTTTAGCTATTAGTAAGGCCATCTTGTTATAAACTCACATTAACTTGCTTTATTCTCTGTATGATGTTACACATATATGATCCTTTTCAACACCTGAAAGCTGAAGGAAGCATTTGATGTCTTGCTTTAGAGCCCAAATAAATCCTATTATATATAGAATAGATATATTTCATATGGATATATTTTCATATACATGAAAACCATATTTTAATTTAGAAGTTAGCAAATTTTTCCAGTAAAAGGTCAAATAATGACTATTTTGGGTTTTGTTTGCATAAGGTCTCAGGCAGCAGCAATAAATAATATGCAAGTGAATGAGTGTGGTTATTTCCATAAACTTTATTTATAAGAACAGAGAGTGGCCCAGATTTTGACTGTAGCCTGTACTACTGACCCCTTGAGAGATGACTCTGTGTTGAAACAACAAAATTATGTTGAAATTTGAAGGCATACTATCTGAGCAGTGGAAGAGGTCACATAAGGAGCTATGTCAAGAGGGATAGGATATCTCTTGTTCTTCTTTTGTTTTTTCTATTAACTAGTTTTTGTTTGATATGGTCAGGATCATTCATTTTATACAGTTTGTATCACTTTGATAAATAATTTTGAAGCTAAAGGAAGTTAGCAAGAACAGTACAAAGAACGCTTTCCCCTAAACCATTTGAGAGTAATTTATCAATAGGGTGGCCCCTGGTCCCCCACTACTTGAGTATGTCTTTCTAAAACAAGGGTTTTCTCCCACATAATCACAATACAACATCAAATCAGGAAAGGAATATCAATGCTCTCCATCATACATTCATTCTTTAGCTGTAACAGCCCCGGTATCGAGTAAACCACAATAGGCAGATACGTCACAGGTTGTAGGATTTGTAGGATCATTTGTTCCAATTTTAAGTTGGTTTAGTTAAAGTCACTTGCTAAGGTTTATGCTCCAGATTCTGGTGTGTGTCGGGGGTGGTGGTAGATGGGTATCAAACTGTATCCTATTTCCTCCCACATGGCTTACTCAAATATTTCAAAAGTAATATTGGGTACCAGTACTTTATTGTTCTGTACTAGAGTTTGTTTTCATAGCCATAATGGTGAAAGTTTTCAACATTTTAGCATCTTTTAATTGAAGCAGTATTAGGGATCATCAGTTCATGTTAATATGCTTTTTTTTTTTTGTAGTGGGGATCACACTCAGGACCTTGTGCTTGCGAGGCAGGCGCCAGAACCTCTGAGCTAAATCCCCAGCCCTCATGTTAATATCTTTTTGTCCTGGCATGATAAGCAGCATTTCAGTATGGAATATTGTATTTGGTAAACACTTCACCTTCCTGGAATATAGTAAAAGCTTCTAGGACAGGGAAAAATCAGGAACTCAAAAAATCCAAGTAGCTCAATCAGTAAATAAGCAAATAAAATGAACAGACACATCTCAAAAGAAGACATAGAAATGGCCAATAATTATACAAAAATATTCAATATCTTTATTTGTGAAATGCTAATCAAAACTACTTTTAGATTCCATCACACTAGTCAGAATGGCTATCATCAAGAATATAAAACACAATGCCAGCAAGGACACAGGGAAAAAGGAAAACTTTTACACTGTTGGTGGGAATGTAAATTATTAGTCACTATGGAAATACTTTAAAAACTTTACATAGAGCTACCATTTGATCTAGCTATACTACTACTTGTTATATACCTGAAAGAATTGAAGTCACCGTACTACAGAGATGCCTGCATACCCATGTTTATTGTGGACATATTTCCATTAACTAAAACAGACTATGTGTTGGTAAATTCACAAAGAAAATGTGGTCTATATACATAATGGCATGTTATTAGCCATAAGGAAGAATGAATTCAGAGTGAGGATGTAGCTCAATGATAGAATGCTTGCCTACAGTGTGGACGGTCTTGGGTTTAATCCCTACTGCCATAAAAAACAAATCATGTCTTTAAAGGAAAGTGTATGGGACTGGTTATCATCATGTTAAGTGAAATAAGCCAAGTTCAGAAAGAGAAATGTTGTGTTTTTTTTCTCATATGTGGAATCTAGGGGTGGGAAAAGAAAGAAAACACAAAAGTCAAAGGAAGACTATTAGAGAAGAGAAAGGGAATTGGGGAGAGGAAGCACAAGAAGGCATTAATAGGGGATGGAAATGGTTAAAATGTATGCACATATGAATATGCCAACATGAAATCCATTATTCTGTATAACTAATGTAAGCATTTAAAAAATCCTAAGTTATCTGTTAGGCATAGGAAATGAGCATCCTTAACTTTATTTTATGTGTGATCCGTGACATATCTGGTTCTAACCTAACTGCAGATCACCATGGCAGGATTCGTCATAGAAGCAGAGGAAAAGACCATGTTCACTGAAAAACAAGTGAGGGATTTCTACAGTCAGATAGCAGACCAGGTAACAAGATTTTTTTAAAAAGGGAGAAAGGTGTAGCTCAGTGGTAGAGCGCTTGCCTTGTATGCTTGAGGCTCTGGGTCCAATTCCCAACACTGCAAAGAAAAACAGAAAAATGGGTTTTAAAAATGCCAGTCCTTGTTCAAATGTACTCAAATAGGGTAATTTCTATAAGTAGTTCTCCATTACGGAAAAGCAAATGAGTAAGTCTGGCCAAGCAAAAAATCTTCAGGTGTCTCTGTTGAGGTCCATAATGAAGCAGCAAGTTTTGTTCTTCCTGGAGGATGGAAAGCACACCAGGAATCTTGGAGGCAAAGTGTAGAACAAGCTTTATTCTTAGTACAGGTGGGTCAGCCTGGGTTCACACAGCAAGAGGTTGACACCCCCCCACTTTGGGGTTGAGCAGGGCAGGTTATACTCTCCAGAGGGGGCAGGCTTGTAGGAATTACAAAGAGTACGAGTCACATGGGCTCAGCAAATTCATTGGTTATTAGGCATTACAGACGGCAAGCTCAGCGCATAGAGTTATATACCTCATTTACATTTGGTGGGGAGGTAGAAGTAACAAAACTATTTGAGAACAAAGAAAATTTCTGAGATTCTTGAGAGAATGTACCAGGCTAGGCAAGCCCAGACACGTTGAGGGAATGGGGAAAACTTCTCTGTCAGTAAGTCTGGCTTTAACTGCAGAGAGGCACATTCCCATTCAATATCTTGGCACCAAAGATGGCCCCGCAGAGAAGTCTCTGGTAGAAATACTGGCATCCAGGAAAAACTGACTGGTCCAATTACTTCAATGGAGTGAAGGCCTCCTTTGCCATGTCCTCAGGAAGTGAATATCCAGTCCTTTCCTATACATTTTTATCCTGGGCTAAAGGGTCTTTTATCATCAGCTCCACAGGAAAGCCCTAATGCATTCTTTACCTAAAAGCCTTTCTCTCAGTCTGTACTTGTTTACATTCTCTACTGCCCAGAGGAATAGGATAAAGGCAGTGCTGGGTAGTATTACAAAGCAGCATTTGTTTGAGGGGTCAGAAGAGCTATCCTCTAGAAATTCAAATTTCAACATGGTAGGTTCTAGATACACGTGGCCATTTGAATTTGAATTCATTAAAATTAAAAAGCATTAAACATTCAGGGTCTTAGTCACATCAGTCACCCCTCAAATGCTCAATAGCCACTGTATTGGACAACACAGAAAAACAAGTTGTTCATCGCAAGCAGTTCTCCTGGACAATGCTTTGTAGGACTTGCTGTACCATTTAAACCATCTCTCCTGGCTCCAGCTTCCACAGGTATAAAAAGAAAAGGATTGTCCAGCTGCATCAGCTATACATAGAAACTTCTGAGAAAATCCAGCTCATTAACTCCACCCCAAAACTACTGAGCCAGTAACTCTGGGAATGAGTTATACAATGTTGTGTTTAACAAGCCCTCCCAATGACTTGTAAATATTCTAAAATTTAAAAGATTAGTTCTTGCTGCCTGTGAACTTCCCTCCTTCAAAAATGTCTTTGTAAATAAAGATTTATATGGATAACATTCCCTTGCCCGTGGATCATGAAGGGGAAGATGTCACTGGTCTTGTGTAGTGCCTGCCATGTTATTCCACCTACTTCAGGAGCCTTAAATAAACAGTTTATCATTTTGTTTTGTAGCCTGACTTTGAAGAGTTCCTGTCTTTTATGACAACTGGTCTAAGCAATGTGCTAATTATAGCTCAGGAAAAAGAACAGGATCAAGTGGAAGAAAATGAGACAGAACTCAAAGAAACATCTGAACCTCCAACTGAGAGTGAAGTCAAGAAGTGGGACAGGTAATTAAGAGCAGAAATTTATCATTTAGAATGCGCCATTAGGTAATAGAGTGTGACATCAAATATCTCAGAACAACAGAAGTTTTTTATGTTGTAGTGACAAGTATTTCTTCCTCTCAACCTGAATTATTGTCAACTGGATAGAGTGGAGACATTAGTAGATCACACTTCCAGGTGTGATCTTGGGGAATATATTTTGTCCCTAGACTCTTCCTCTCTGACTCATCCACTCCTCTCTGCTCCTGGATGCCATGAGTTAGGCACCTTTCCTCTGCTATGCCCTTCATGATGTTTATGCCATGGGTCTAGCTACCATGGACTCGAACCACGAGCCCAAATGCATCCCTCTTCTTTTAAGTTTCATCCCTCTTCTTTTATGTTGCAAGTGTTAGTTACTTTGTCCCAGCAATGACAAAACTGACCAGTACACCAGGATTGCCTCAAAAGTTTATGCTAACAGCATTAGAAAAAGAAGAATTCTCCCTGCATGCCCTTCTAAACCTTGGGCAGACCAGTCTGGATTCATGACCTGCAGCTTGAAAAGTATATCGAAATCACACATGATCCCCCAAACCTCTGACCATCTCCCACATTCCCTTTCTGCCTTCTCAGTGCCCTAAAATCATCAAACATGCTCTTTTTCGTAAGGCACTTGGTGGTTATAAATTGCTGGCAGCAAAATGGCTGTACATTTTTGCTGATGAATTTGTAAACATTTGGAAATGGACATAAGTAATTTGCAGAATGCTGTTACATGAGGCTATTTGTACCTTTTAGACCTCTGAAGACTCAGAGAATCCAGAGCTTAATGCACCAGTTGTCAGAGCTGCTCCTGAAAAAAAGTTGGATGAGCAGGAACAGGCTTGGTGGCTGAGGAACAGACTCAGGTGGCTGAGTCTTGGGACTTTGTGGAGGTGTGAATCCACTGCTTGCCTCCCATCTCTTCTGCATTTGTTGCCTGGGGGGCCCTGCAACTTTCCTCATTGCCTTATTAATGAATAGTGAAGGTTGTCCAAGAGTAACCACCTCTTCTGTTCCTAGCATTGTCGTATCTTTTAGGTTGTGGGAGATTCTAATCCCATTCACTTCAAATTTTAAACCAAAGGAAAGGAGTGCTTTACTGCTGACAAAAGGCTTTGCAAGCAGTAGTAGTTTTTTTCTGGGTTTGAGGGGAAATGATGAATGAGCAGAAGGAAAGTTTGGGTGGGGAGTGCTGGGTTTAAAAAAATATCAGATTTTGTACCATAGTTTTTGAGCCACTTCAAAATAAAAAGTGTTCTGTGAAACACCTATGTTGCAATTGGTATAAGAGAAGTCAGAACTCTATTGGTGCTATTGCCCAGGCAGCAATAAGTCTCTATCACATTGAACTTTGAAGAGCAGTTGTGTCCAGTTGCTCAACACCCACCTACAACATTGTGGTGGGTTAACTAATGGCCAATTTTGAGTCAGCATGGTTCTGGTCATGGAAGACCCACCTGAGGATTGTTGCCAATAGCAAAGCTTAAAGGAGAACCTGAGGGGAAGATCACATACTGCTGATTTTCGTGAAGAAGCTGCTTTTCTGTGGTTTTTCTTCAGAGGAGGCTTGACTGCTGTCTTCCTTTAGGAGAGCTTCATTCCATGTCTTTATCTTGGACGTCATCTCCTGGCTTTGAGTGCAGAGCTCTCAGCCTTCTGGCACAGACCCTTCACCCTGCCAACACAGACTTTCTAGCTTCCAGCACTGGCCCTTGGCCCTTTCTAGGGGTTTAGATCCTTGACAGAGACTTGCACGGGACATTGCCATGGGCTCCAAGGCCTTGACAGGCTCCTTTGGGTCTCTAGTGTGCAGACAGACTTTTCACAGTCTTCTACACCCGACTGTAGTAAACACTGACTAATACAAACATGGACAGTGTAGGCATTCTCACTGGTGGGGAGGTGTGGGTGGAATGAGACCCGTTCACCTTGTTTGGCATGGCCTGTAATATTTTCTTTCTAAACTTAGGGACCCCCCGTGGCCTTTGCTTGTGTTTGTCCTGAGTACTGGCCCCAGGCAGGCAGTGTGGAATGGTGTGGAGCAGGCTTGGTTGGTAATTGTTGTTGTTCCCACAGTGCTTCTGCAAGCAGGGCCTTCTAGACCACCCTTAGCTCAAAGACAGAATTCAAAGAAAAAACTAGAAACCAAAAAATAATATATTTTAACTTGGGTTTTATTTATCTTTTCATAAAGTCAAACACTGAGGGTGTCTTGTCACTGATTTTTGGACTACTTCAATAAAAAGCTGGATTAAATATCTTATTTTGGGTGTGAGAGAAATATGGCTTATTTTTCCATGAAATTCAAATTTTATTTGTTTTATTAAACTCCAAGTAATTTTTGAACATACTGACAATTAATTGTTGGCATATTTATTAAAGTTTAGTTTCTAATAACCAAATTATATTTTGGATTTTCACAGTTTGCAAAAGTATCTGGAACAACAACATATATCTCAGTTTTGCGATGTTGAAGATGATGAAGCTAATGTAACAAAGTTCACTGATGTCTTCTTCCCTGATTTTAAAATAGCCAAGGGCAAGAAATTGCAAAGGACACTGGCATTACTGAGACCAGATCTCCTTGAAAAGCAAGGTAGGAAATGTAGTATAAATGCTCAAATAGTTTATAGATAGGATTAGAATGTTCATTTACTAACTTCATTTACTTTATTCATTTTTACTAACTTCTCCTTAACACATGTAATAAACTGGTAATAATGAATAAAGCATTTTTGGAGTTAAAGAGTTTATGAAGCGTTTTCTAATCTGTGACTTGTTAGAGTCAATTTTACTATGGCAGGAATTATAATTTAGGAGAGATTGGAAGCTTTCATGTCTGAAATGCTTCAATTAAGAGCTCAGGTCCACCATAATTAGGAGCATCACTCGAATAAGATATTTCATAGAGCCTATGTTTTTGTCTGTAAAATTCAGAGGATCGAAAGGAGAAAGCATAAACCAACTGCCTGGGACTTTGTTAGTTATTTTTAAACTCATCCCACATTCACAGGGCACAGCGAATACTGAAGAGTAAGAACTGAATTATACATTGACTCTTTTCTTAAATTGATCATTTTACTTTTTTTATACCTGGTACTGTATATGGAAGCACAATTGAAATTTGCGTATTGACTTTTTACTCATCATGTTGCTGAACTCAGTTCTGGGAGCTGTGACATAATTTCCTTGGGAATTTCTAGATAGACCAGGATTTCTTAACTTTCCATCTCCTTACCTTTGGGACCAGGTCATTCTTTGGTGGGATGGGAGCCCTGTCAGGTGCTCTGTAAAATATGCTTAGCAGCATCCTCGGCATCCACTTGCCCCCCAGTTGTGGGGCATTCTTCCCACATCTGTTGTGACCAAACCAAAAGTGCCTCCTAACTCTGTCAAGTTTATCTTGAGGGGCCAAATTTCTTTGGCTGAGCACCATTGGTGTAGACAGTAACACCACCTGCAAGGGAGAAGCATTGCTCCTCTCCCAACTATATGGCTTTTATTTCCTTTGTTATTTTATAACTTGATAGGATAAGAAGTTTGGTCAACCTTAAGTTAAAACCTAAGAGTCTATTTTTATAAACTTTTACATTTCATAAGGAAAAGAAATACATTACACCCTTATGATCATATTATAATACATATATATATATATATATCTCCAATAACCTAGCAGTTTAAAACCAACTGTCATGTGATTGTTTCTATTTAGATGATGTTTTAAAAGTTATTAAAGATGAAGACTTTGAAATACTGATGGAAAGACAAATAGTATTATCAGAAGAAGAAGCAAAAATGCTGTGTAAGGAGTATGAAAAGGAAAACTATTTTGAGGCCCTTATAGAAAAGATGACCAGGTAAAGCAGAGTTCTGATTTACAAAGCATGATGGGATTTATTCTTGTAATCATTTAATCTGTCTCTTACCCTGCTTTTTATTCACTTTGGCAACCTCTAAATTCCACAAACAGATTCTGAGTCTATTTCTCTGTCTCCTGGCCCTGTCCTGATTATCTGCGCAACTCTGTCTCCTCTACTCATCCTGGAATGTTACTGGAGCAATAGAAAGACATGAAAGTAGATGGAAGACTGATGTTAGATAAAAGGAAGGGAATAAAGTGGGGATGGATGGGACCAAATTATATCATATGTACCGAAACCCAATATTTTGTCAAATTAATACATACTGATAATAAAAGGGAAAATTGGAAAAAGATTAAATAATTGATGTAAATTATCTTGATCTAGATGCAAAGAAAAATTAGAAGTAAATTATTTATAATAATAATTATTATTACTATTGTTATTTTGCAGTACTTGAGATTGAATCCAGAGCCTTTGCACTGAGCTACATCCCTAGCCCTTTTCTTAATCTTTATTTTGTGACAGTGTCTCACTAAGTCACTAAATTGCCCTGGTTGGGCTCAAACTTGTGATCCTCCTGATTCAGCCTCTCAGAGTGCTGGGATTGTAGGCATTTGGCACCATGCTCATATTTTATATTATTTTAATAAAGTTTAAAGATTCCATGACTTCACTACTAACCAAGAAGTGAAATCAACAAATTGCTGCTCTTCAAATAAAAATATGGAACACTAATAACAAGAGAGATCCCAGAGAAGTTGATGGCATCTAGTTGGGTTGAACTCCAGAAGTCCAGGTTGCACCACATGAAATCAATGCAGAGGACTGACTGACTCTGGGCGGTCAGATTTGATCCACTTGACTTTTGGTCAGGGCTTCCGTGATCTCACGGATCAGTAGTCCTGGGAGAGGAGTGGGATGTTGGAAATTGGTCAGGTTTCTACAAGAGTGACTGAAATAGCAGCTGAGGCAGAAATCCAGGAAGGGCACCTAAACCAGAAGGAGCACAGGAACCTGGAAGGAATCACTGGACAAGAGTCAAAGCCTCTGTCTTTCTTCTCTTCCCTTCTTTGCCGCCAACCTCTTAGAAAAATGCACAAAGGAAATTAACGTTAGGACCTCAAAAGGATTACTTTGGCAGGTTTTCAGTCTATTTAACTGTATTTATATTATTTATATCTCATTAGCTACTAAGCCATATTCTTAGTAACTGTTTTTGTTTTCTACCAGGAGTCCATCTCTCGCCCTTGTTTTATTGAGAGAGAATTGTGTGCAACACTGGAAAGAGTTACTGGGACCAAGGACTGTTGAGAAAGTCAGTGAATATCATGCAGAGAGGTAGGATTTATATCCTCAACCCCAAGCTTTTTTCATGAGATCCACTTTAATTTCTTTTTAAGTATAGAAACAAGAACCATAACTCTACTCCAAGACAGCTTCTAGGAAAATGACTTTTCCTGGGGAAGTAGCAGACTATGACAGAGTTCCCATCCAATGCCAGCTTGAGTATGGACAGTATTTTGTGAGAGAACTCTGGGCCTGTAGTTGAGAATTAAGAAGTGTATGCTAAGCCAAAAAGGCCTCTCTTGGGAGAAATACCCACCCCACCTGCTATTTAGGAGAAATTTCTTTGAGAAAGTCTGTGATGGAAGCTTCAGGCCCTTCAACTGATTGTAAGAGTTTCAAGACAATGAAGACTAACTGAATATGTCCTCTGCAATGTGATGGAAAATCTACTGAGTTAGTTTACCAATGAATCTGAAAAATCAGCTAGACTTTGTTATCAATTCAACATCTGACATAGTCCCGGCACAGCTGAAAAATGTTTCAGTATTTTTTATTTTATCTGTCAGGGTTGGTAACATCTGGAGGATAGAAAAAGTATCTCTTCCCTCTCAATACTTGGCATGTAGCTGAAGGAAACAAACAGAATTGTGATTCACCTAAACCCCTCCCCTTCCTCTTTTTTTCAGTACTGGGGATTAAACCCAGGGCTTTCACTACATCTCAACCCTTTTACATTTTTTTTTTTTTTGAGACAGGGTCTGGCTAAGTTGCTCAGGGTGGGCTTGAACTTGTGATCCTTCTGCCTCAGCCTCCCATAGGACTACTGATTTCAAAGTAAGATTCGATTCAGGAGAAGAAAGGACTTTCTTTATTGTGTGCAAGAATAAAGATACTCCATAAGGGATAGCAAACTTAACTTACATATTGGCACGATAAATAACAGTACATAGGAAGAAGCACTCACATGGAAGTTGAAGGGCTTTCTTTTGGGCAGGAGGTACTTGAGTCTAACTTGTCCTACAAGGACACATTTTACCCTTTATTCAGTCCTACTCACTTATATATTTGCTCCTTGTTGGAAAATTACTCTAAAGGATAATATGGACTGGACACTCTGCAAGAGTATCCATAGAATCTCTTCATAAAATGTAGCATAGAATGTTTATTAGTCAGCTTTCCAAGTGCTGAACACAATACTCAACATCTACAACTTAAAGGAGGAGAGGTTTAATTTGCCTTATGATATAAAGGGATTCAGTCCATGGTCAGCTGGCTCCAAGACAGAAACATCATAGTGGAAGGGTGTGGCAGAGTAAAACTGCTTAGTTCATAATGGTCAAGGAGTAGAGCAGGGAACAAAACCAGACAGGAAGGGGCCAGGGATCAGATCTAGATCCCAAGGTCATGCCTCCATGATCCACCCAGATACACCCTGATGTGTGCTTCACAGATCAACTAGGTAGATCCCAAAGCCAATCAAATTGATACTTTTCCCTAAGCATCACAGCATGGCACTAGAGAGAAGAATTCCTATCAAAACAAGGTCTGTGCCTGTAGGCAAACTGTTCTAGACACATGGTGGAGGCTGTGCACTGGGACAGAGCTATGTTCTCCTTATGAAGATACTCTGTGGCTGCTCCTCTCTACCCCAATGTTAGAGGGAGAGTTCCGCAAGTCCTTGACCATCATTTTTGTTTGGTCTCCTTGTTTCCAGTTTGATTGTCTCTACCCAGCTCTTACAGGTTACTTTTAAAAGTAATTCTTTTGACAGAAGCCCCTCCAAAGATAAGTGTAGGAATAAGCAAGGGCTGAAGGTTAAACTGGAAATTTTAATGGGTCACTGAAACCAGAGGCAAGAAGGTCTTGAAAACCAAGATTCCAATGACATAAAAGAGGATTCACATCATTCTGAGCAGCAAGGGATACTCAGCATAGTCGAATTTTAGGGGGTTGGCTGATCAGACTGTGTTATTTAAAGTGCACAACATGAAGTGAGCCGAGATTATCTCTTCTACTGAAATATGCATTGCTAGATGGAGAGATAGTTAAAATGACAACAGATGAAACTCCCAGGAACATCAGTTGATTTATGAGATTCATAATCTTTTATAAGGAAGGAAACAGAGCAGAGTAAATTGCCCCAACATGGATGGTCCATTACAGTCAGCTGCCTCTTTCCACAAAACTACCTGAGTGCTGCTATTTTATTGCTGTACCTCCTCTCCTGATGGTTGCATTGTAGTTCTCCTAGATTCTATGTTCATAACTTGTCATCTTTAGTATAAAGTCAAATATGATCTTATGTTTGATAATATTTAAGCCATTTCTCACTTATCTTGAAATAACTCATGGATTGCAGCCTACCCTTAACCTCAAAGTTTGTCATGATACATCTCTTATTATTTTTGTATTGCTCTAGTATATGGTCTTTGGAAACAAACTCCGTGTTTGTACTTATAGCGTTCTGTTTTTAGAGTGATATTTCCATTTACAAAATATAGTAATTCTTGATTGTTATTTCATGCTTTGAAATTTACCACACAGGGAAAAAATGATGAAATACTGACCATGACATACATTTCCTTCACATTAGAGTTAGAGACAAGTTCTGTTTAGAAATAACTCCAAGAACAGTTTTTATATTTCATTTTTACATTGAAAACTGGCCAAATTTGCTTCAGTCTTAAAGAGGCTTTGTACTTTATGTAAATTGAATGAATGCTGGTAGCCAGCTGCACTTCTTTCCCTGAACATTAATGGTGAAAACAAGGGAAGAAATACTAGGAGCTCAATATGTACCATGTGTTTCAAATGCTTCATCTGATTGCACCCTCAAAAATCACCTTGTACATCACCTTGTTCTCTCTTTGAGAGAACTAACACACAAAGAAATTTAATCATTGGCCAGTCAAACATATCTAACAAGTAATGCGACCAGACTCCAACAATCTGGGCTTTTCCATTGGACACAATACCCCTTCTTCCTTTCACGGTTATTCATCAATATCTATCATCATGATGATCTAAATGATCACATCTTTTCTTCCCAATGACTGGCCTCCTTGGAAGGAAGTAGCATGCCCTTACTTCCTTTTGCACACTAAGAAGATCAAGAATGAGTTACTGCTGTATGGTAATTGTTGAACAACTTATATAAATATTGTTATATTGCCTTAGACTGTTATGCTGTGTATAATAGTTTTTGAATTTAACCACTTTTTCCAAGTTTATGTGCACAGTTTGCAATGGGAAATTTGCCTATCAACCAATTGTATGGAAGTGATTCAATGGAGGCTGCTGAAAGGGACATAGAGTGTTTCTTTCCTCCTGAGAACACTTTGGCATTGATTAAGCCTCATGTGACACGTGAACAAAGAGGTAAATATTTTAAAATAAGAGCTGACACATACATTTTTCTTCCAAACTTAGTGAGATTTTTTTAAACTAGAGAAAAGTTAAAAAGCATAACATAATGAATACTCATATCCTTTCATCTAGATTCAACAATTAACTTTGTTGTATTTACATGTGTTTATATATTACTTTTCTGTACATTGGACCAAATACCCAACACTGGCAACTTAAAGGTGGAGACATTTACTTTGGCTCATGGTTTCAGTCCATGATCAGTTGGCACCAAGGCAGAAAGAGTGAGGTAGAAGGGTCTGGCGGAGGAAAGCTGCTCACCTTATGGCAGCCAGGAAGCAGAGAGAGAAGGAGGAGCCAGAACAAGGATACACCCTTCTGGGTCACACCCCAGTGATCACTTCCAGCCAGGCCTCACTTCCTGACAGCACATTCAGCCACAAACTCATCAGTGAGCCATTCCACAATCTAATTCTTTCTAAACACATGAGACTTTTGGAGGACATTTTAGATCTAAACCATAGATCTCTCTCTCTCTCTGTCTCATCTCTCTCTCTCTCTCTCTCTCTCTCTCAGAAGGTTCTGGATCTTTAGCACCCAAAAATGTTTTTATAGAAGTCCATTTCAAAGTTGATAGAAATAATGTTTTCTCTCCATAGATATATTCATATGGAAAAGCATAATAATGATATTTCTAATGTTGAGCCATCTATTTATTTCTGTATAAACTATAAATTCCACATAGCCCTATGTTTTTATTTGCTTCTATTTCATTTGGGATTTTTTTCTTTTTTTGCATTGAGACTAAAAAGTTAGATTCGTTTGTATTTGTGTGAAGTCTGAGCAAGTTTAGATTACAATGGAATAATTCCTAGAAACATATTGAAATCTTTACAGGGCTCTGAAAGTTTAAGCAGCACAGGGATTGATATTTGAAGGTTTGGTGGAATTTTCCTGTGAAAATATCTAGGCCTATTGCTTTTCTGTGTATTTTATGGAAACTGATCTACTTAAACTTTTTCTCTTGCTTAGAGTTAATTTCTTTTTTTCTTTTTTTATTATTTTTCATTTTTTATTAGTACATGTTTGTAGTACATAATGATTACATTTATCGTGGAGAATTTGTACATAACACATTTTAATTCATTTTTTGTCCCTTTCTCCTTCTCCTACTCCTTCCAATTCTCCTTCCCCTCCCCACAAGCAAAAGCTCTATTTCTACTTTTCAAATCTTTTTTGTATCCCTTTTCCCTTCCCCCCTCCCCTCTACTTCCATCTCTTGTTCACCTTTCCATTTGAAAAAATGTCCTCTTGTGTGTCTGATTTATTTCACTTAACATTATGGTCTCTAGGTGCATCCATTTACCTAAAAATGCCTCAAATTTATCCTTCTTTATGGCACAGTAGTATTCCATTGAATATACATACCACATTTTAAAATCCATTCAACTGTTGATGGCCATATAGATTGTTTCCAAGATCCTCAGACAAAGCACTAGTATCTAGAATATATAAAGGGCTCAAAAACATTAGACTCTCCAAAATTGAAAGACCCAACCCCAAAAAAGGGCATCCAAAATGTACGGGCACTTCTTAGATAAAGAAGTACAAATGGCCAATAAATACATGAAAATATGTTCAACATCACTGGCCATTCCAAAGTTAATTTCTGAAATCACACTTTCCTAAGGAATTACCTAATTCTACCTACATTAAATCTGCAAAAATAATTTCTTATTTTATTTCCCCTGTTTCAAAGGTTAGTCTTACCATTTCTTACTTTGTTGTCTTTTGAACAACAAGAATTGATTTATTTGAGTTATATTTTATTCCATTTTCTAACATTGCTTTTGGTTTTACCTTTATTATTTTCTTTTCTCTATTTCCTAGTAGGCTTTTTATGTTATAGCTTTCTGAGTTATTATGTAAATTTATAAAACTATATATGTTCTTTTCATATTTGTTTTAATTATTATCACTAGATTTAATGCACAGTATTTACATTGTCATCTTTTAGAAATTTTGCAATTTTAGTTTGTCTTTCCCTGGGGCCTTAGAGTGACTCAGTAGATCAATTTACTTTTTAAATCAGTAATTTTCAAATCAAATTATTCTACTGGATGGTAAATTCTATTTTTATGAATATCTTTACTGCATTGTGATTAGAATGTCTTTTTTATTATTTTTATTGAAATTATTATGGCTTTAGTGAACTACCATATGATAAATGTTTGTGAAGATTCCATGTGTGTAAGAAGGGACATTATTTATTAGCATCACACAAATTTTGAATATATGACATACCTTGGTATTTATTAGATTTATACTTGATTCTCTTCTTTTATTTTTTGCCACCTTGATTTTGTCTTGAACTGTTGGTAAGGAGCTAGTCCCCTATTTTTTGTATGTTGCTGACAATTTCCCCTGTAGTTCTGATTTAAAATGGTGGTTCCTGGGTTATTTGATACAGATATTCATAATTAAAATTCATGGTGGATTTGGGTTTTAAGCATTATATGGGGCCCTTCTTTGTCTCATATAATACTTTAGAGTTCTATGTTGCCTAATATCATACTACATAAACCACTTTCTTGTTATTTGCATTGCCTGTTGCCTTTTTGTATATTTATCTATTTTTAGCCTTCTGCATCACTCTGTTTTTGTGTATCACTTGTATAAAGAATACTAGTTAGTTTTACTTATGATTCTTTCTGAAAATATTTTAAAACATGATATCAACTCATTTACACTTATTGAAATAACGTATCTTATTTTAATTCTGTATTATTTGATATTATACACATTTATGTATTTTTATTTAGTATTGTTTTTCATATTAGATTCTTTACAATTTATTTTGTGCTTGTGAAGTTCATTTGTTCTAGAAGTTAATTTTATAGAAATATCTGCACCATATTTCCTTATTTAAGCTTCTATGATTTGTTGTTTCATCTTTAAATGTTATACTAATACCTCTGTAACAGTTATTGAAATTAACATATTTCTTCTTTCACTCCCTAGTGTATCTCTGTTAAAAGTTGTGATAAACCTACTTTTTTTAGAACCCATGTTATTTATTTTCTGGATATAAAATTCTTGGCTCACATTTTTTCTTGCATTTCTTGAAAATATAACACTATTCTGGTTTTGTATTTTGCTATCAAGTCTGATGTCATACTGTTGTGTTTTTTTTCCTATTTAAAAGACATGGTGTTTTGACAAAAGTTCAGCACAATTTAAGAAAAAAAATCTATCAAGACTGAGAGTTTTACTAAAATATGTCTGAGATTTGGCCAATTTTGATTTATTTTTCCAGATATATATTAACTTCTTTCAATGTCTATATTTATATTATTCCAGGATGGTTTTCTTGGCTTGTAGCTTTACATGTCTGTTCTGTTCTACTGTTCTAGTTTTCAACTTTAGGAAGTTCATTGGAAATACCAGGAAACTCTGCACTAATTCAGTGTGGTTCAAAGTATTCTCTTCTTTTGGTATGATGAAGTCAAAATTTTAAAATAAATATATAATTATATTTCTATGCACAAGAATATATATTTATCCTTGCTTACCTTGTGCATCCATTACTTTCTTTATTATCAACTTCTCTTTATTGGGGTTTCCCTCTAGTCTAATTTTATTCCTGTTTTCTATATGCTTTAATATATTTCAAATCATATCCTTCATTAGGCACTTTTTAATTTAGTTTTTATTTCTGAGATGATTTTATCTTTTTCTTTAATTTCTTTCTTGATTAGACAAGTTTTATTTTACATCTACTTATTGCTTGTCTATTTCTACTTCTGTGTTTGACGTTCTGATTCATGATATGTCTAGGTACCATATGCTTAATTCACACTGGTGTTGTGTTATGCTTTCTTTTGGCTTGTCATCTTTCTGCTTGCTTAATTCACTCTCACTCTTGTTTTCCTCCCTTTTCTTTCTTCTTCCTGCTTTGATGAGAGAAGGAAATATGTTTAAGCAGAAAATTAATTTTACTTCTTAATGGAGTTTGGTGAAGATTTAGGATGCAAGGTAAGGTATATAATTAAGTATATTGGATTTGTGATAAGTAGAAGTATATTAGATTTGTCTACATACTTCAGATGACTCAGTAGAGGCTTATGAGAGTTAAGATCCTCATTAAGTTTCTCAGTTCAGAATGTTCTTTTGTTGTTGTGAAGTCATTTCTATAATAAGTAGGGCCTTAGCAGATGGTAGATCCATATACTATTTCTACAGAGCTCTTTGTTTACCCCTGACATTAACCTCAGCCACTTGCTTCCTTTCTGCTCATCCCCTTACACTACAGCCTTTTTCTTTCCCAATATGCATTCTTTTTCTGGGAACTGATTCCTTCCAAAGTCTGGGTTAGTCCCCAGATGCCTTGCCCATCATGGCTTCCCATGCCACATGCTTTGTCCTCCTTACTGAAAAGGAAAGGGTCTTCCTAGAGGACGAGTAGTCCAGCTGAGAACGCTTCCACTGTGCCTTGCTGCCTTAGGGCAAAACCCAGATTCTTCAGAAGATAGAGCTCTTTATCCCCCCTTCTCCATCTCCAATGCCAACTTCATCTTCAGCAGGTTCTCACACCATGTCTTTCTCTCTTCTCTTTGAACTTGGTGTTTGTCAGTCACTCTGCCCACCAGGCTTTTCTCCTACCTCTCTGCCTGGTGATCACACTTTATTTTTTCCATACTCAACACAAAAGTCAACATCTCTAAAGAGAAATCCCTGCTGCCCACCCAGGGTTGTTTCCTGTGATTCTAGGAGCTTACACATGCTTCTTTATGTATCGACCAGCTTCTCATGATCCATTTATAGGCTTGGCTCTTGGACCAGCTGATTAATATCTGAGGAAGAGTTTCTACTCTCTTCATGTCCGTTTCCACAGCACCTCTGTTAGGGTGCATCCTGGCCACCTCCTTTCTAGCAGGAAAAGTTCAGGCTTCTCCGGATGTCTGCTGTCTGTGGTCACAGTTATGTCTGGCTGCCAGCATAGCACTTCTGAGTCCCTTTGGGAATGAATTAGAGCCTTTTATTTTGTTTTATTTTTACCAGAAAGCTTCAAGTTTCTCCATTTGCTCACTTTTGTCTCCAGAATACTGTTTGCAATATTTAGGATGTTGTTGAGATTTTGTTTTTAATTTGAATGTTATCAATATTATTAATACATATTTGTGATGTATAATGATGAATGCATTCATCATGGGGACTTGGTACATATACATATTGCACTTTAGTCCTTTTTACTTTCCCTTCCCTTCCCCTCCCTCCTCCTCTCTCCATCCCTAGATAGTGTGCCCATTTGCAAAAGTCTATCTCCCTGTATCCTACCATCTTTCTTTTATTTCACTATTTGAGACTCAAATTGACTCCCAATTTCGACCAGACTTTAATTCTCTCGGTATTGCCCTGCTCTTCAGAGAGAAGAATTCAGATTGACTCTTCCTTTAGATATAGATCAAGGAAAAAAGTCTTTGGCATTTGTACTGTGGAGGGGAAAATATGTCTTCATTCTTAGCCTGCTAGAAGCGCTCTTCCCTCTGATAGTGCCCAAAGTGCTCCTGTGGTTTCTGGAAAGGTAGATCTTAGACTGGAACTTAGACTGACATCTTCAAGATCTGAGTGTCAGTTTGGTGCTGTTAAAGTTTAATTTAGCTTAGCACAGTTTGGGGTTTTTTCTTAAACTACAAAATGTAAATGTAACTATTACTTTCAATGTCCTTGAGCATAAGCAAAGGAGAAGCATTCTGTAAGGTTACCGCATCTCTGTCTTCCCCAGCAGAGATCCTGAAGCTCATCAAGGAGGAGGGGTTTGAGCTGACTCAGATGAAGGACATGCTCCTCACTCCTGAGCAAGTGGGGAAGATTTATTTCCAAATAACAAAGAAAGACTTCTACAAAGACATCGTAGAAGTATTGTCTGAGTAAGTTCCTGATATGCACTTGTATACATTACCAAAGTACATCAATTTAGAAACTCTGAGAAATAGATATTACTTAAAAACTTTCCATCTAATCACATTTATGAAAAGACATTCTGTTAATGTGTGGTGTTTGTTTACTTTCTCTCCTTATCTTCTTCTCTTTCCCCTCCTTCTCTCCTTCTTCCTTTCCTCCCTCCCTTGCTTCTTTCCTTTCTTCTTCTGCCCCATTAGATCTTTACATTAGACACAGAGGCATCTGAATTCAAAGCCTCATTTTGCTGATATTCTGTATCAGTACCTCAGTTTCCTGATCTCTCAAATGGGAATGAAATAGGACCTACCTCACGTTTGGTGGTGAGGCTAAGCAACTGATACAATGACAGCACTTGGGATAGTGTGTGTGGCATATCTCAAGTGTTCAATTAATGTTAGCTGTCATATCTTTATACATCTTTTTTTCTTTTACATATGTAACATCTTGTCAAACTCTTAACATGCATAATAAATGTACAAAGTATGATCAAAATACACAGTGAATATTTTAAATTTTAAAATTTATCACAGTAAAAGACACTATAACACACCTGAAAATCCTCTCCCTCACTTTAAATACACCTATCCCATCATTCTTGCCACTTTCTGAAGCAATTCTGGAAGACTTCTGTTGTGAATGTCTTTAGTTGCTCTGTTGTGGTTACCTCAATATCCTAAACTGATTTAAAACATTTACCTTTCATGATCATTTTGACTTTGGTGAAGAGCCAGAAGATGCACAGTGCCAGATCTGGTAAATAAAGTAGATGAAGACATACTGTAATGTATTTACAAACCTGGGTCTTCATTGGATGGCACTGAGTAGCAGTGTTCACCATATTTTTTATTGTACCTGTTGAAGACACTCATGAAAGAGAACAACCAGGGCTGTTTCACAAGGTAGCAAGAATGATGCGGTGTGTTAGAATCAAAGTGGAGTATTGTGAGAAAGGCTAATGGCAATGTGTGTTTTACTATAATCACTTTTTAAAGTTTAAACCTTCGCCATATATTTCTATCACACCTTATGTATAGTTACATGAATGGTATATATTATGTTGGAACTTCTTTCTTCCGCATTACAGATCTGTGCCTGGCAGCATGTATCTTTATAAGCACTGCAGACAAATGGACAGCTAATATCTATTGATGTTTACTTAATTCCAAGTCTCCTGCTGACTTATTTACACTTTATCTCATCTGACCCTCATAACAACTCCAAGAAGTAGATTTGTCTAGAATTTCCACTTTGGCTATGTAAGACAGAGGCTCAGGGAAATTGTCCAAGGTCACAAAGCTAGTGTTTGGTAGGACTCTGAACCCAGAGAAGCTATGCTCTTGACTGCTGCTTGCCAGAGCTTACTTTTCCATGAAGGTCATAATTACTTGAAAACACCTTTATCTATTTACTTTGACTTTTAAAAAATGCCATGTGTTAAGAAACCTCTTTAAATAAAATATCTTTCCTTTATAGACCCTGGCCATTTGTCAGTGAGTCAGGAAAGGTAGTATTATAGATTTCAAACAAAAGATCACCCAACACATAAGTAGTAATTAGATACAAATAATACACAGAATCTCAAGGACTTTGAGTGACTGCACCTTGATGGCTTGGAAAACAAAACTAACTTTCCAGTCTTTTGAAGGCTTCATCCCCTGGGACCCAGACACTGATTGGACTTAGGCTATTCACTAAGGGTACTGTGTAGAGCAGAGGAGAAAGAATCAGGCCAGGGAAGAGGGAGAATTCCAGGGGCAGTGAAGGCCTGACAGCTGCTGCTGACCCTGCTGGATAGGTCCATGTGGCTGCACTGTGATAGGCTGAGATGTCCAGGCCTTTGCATTCTAACACTGGCCATCCCTGGAATAGTCCACCTGGAAATGAGGGTGGCCCACGTAAGGTGGCTTCCCTTCCTAAGGGCAATCCTTGAAGAGGCTAGATGGCACAGAGTCACCATGAAACCATAAGGCCTGGTTCCATGTCAATATCTATGTGACCCTCAAAGTAGCAAAAATAATGCTTCCATTGACAAATATTCTCTAGAATTAACCAACAGCACTTAGCACAAAAACCTGTTAGGAGAAAGAAAGTGGCAAACAAATAGCACAAAATACCAGGGGTTAGGACAAAGGATAAAGAGGAGCTCATGGGACCAGCCTGTGACATTTTATCACCATGTATGCAATCTGAGCCACTGCAAATAGCTCAAGTCTTCTCAAAGCGTTGTTGTTTGCAGGGGTCAGTCTTTGGTCATGGTTCTGACCAAGTGGAATGCTATTGTAAGCTGGAGACGGTTGATGGGCCCAGTAGACCCAGAAGAAGCAAAACTCCTGTCCCCAGACTCCATCAGAGCCCGATTTGGAATAAACATCTTGAAAAACGCTGTCCACGGATCAACTAATCATTATTCAGCAACAGTGAATAGCAATGCATTATTTGAAGAGGATGCAGGGGAAGAGTAAGGTATGTACCACGAGGAATCCACCATTTTCATTAGTGTTTTCTTTGATTGTTACATGGATTGAGCCTAGGCCAAGCCTGTCCTGAAAAGATAAAAACCTTTCCCATATTTATGAATCAAACTTTATTTCCTACCAGATACACCATGCTGTTTTATAGCAGCCTCAGAGCCAAGCCTTATAATGCCAGTGGCCTGGAGGTCCCAGTTGCCTGGAGCTAGGAAAAGGAAGCTGCAGCCCAGCTGCAGAGATAGGGAAAGTGGGGTGCACGAGATGCCCTGAGTTTGCAAACCTAGGCCTCAAGCTGTTAGTGTCATCTGCCCTGTTGATCACCTCTTGCTGTGTGGCCTCATTCCTAGGAGGCTACGGACTAGTTCCTGTCTGTGGTCTGGGAGTTGGGGACCCTTCATTTAGGCTATAATTTATCCAGCTATTTAAAAATGAATCAAAGTATTATATATACAAAGTCAGTTCTAGCAAGGTACAGGTTTGTCTATGGGTGTGACTCAATTTTAGACCAAAATGTGATCACACAACCCTTCAAAATTTAAGTTGGTAAAATATGTGTCGTATAGCTGGCTTGAACTGTGGGTTCTTGATTAATACAAAACTGGCAGGATGAAGATTGTTACCTCCAGAAGAAAGCAAATCTAGTGGGATGACAAGTGAAGAATGATTGGCAAAAGAGGAGGCTCTCCGTGGAGCTACATCTTGTTTGTAGCTCCTGTTAGCAATGATTCTTCTAATACCTATATATTCCTCCTTTTTTTGTGGCAGAAGGAGCATTATTATTTACTTATACAGGAGATTTGCAAGTAGTATATAATTCAGTGCTGAACTGATGGGTGTATGTTTGTGAGTAGGAGCTGGAAAAGGTAAAGTATGGAATAGCCTTGGGTAAGATTTTCAAAATCAGAGGAAAGAAAGTGAATTCAGTTTGTAAACTGTCATCTTTGTCTAGACAGTCATCTATGTCTATACCTTAGTGCTAGAGATGTGCCTAAAGAGGCTTTGCTGGGTTCTGTCTTACTGTGTGCACTCCTCTGTATCATGTGGCTCTGAGAGATGGTATTGGTGGGTCTGTTTGAGACACTGAAGACTCATTTGTGGAGATCTTGCTAGATGCAGGGTATGGTTGTGGGATGGGTTTGCATAGCCCTTGTTCTAAAACACCTTATAACTAAGAGCAGGAGATAGAGAATGAACATGCGTTCTAGGGTTAGGGTAACTAGCGTGACTGCTCTGCGTAGAGGCATGGAGGGCATGGGAGGAGGAATGAGATACAAACTATTCAGGCAGGAGGCATGGTGATAATCTGCTGAGATAGCATAGAAAACAGTGGGTAGGGTTTGGATGGGAGGAGAAAATGAGTCTTAGTGGACGCATTACCTCAGGAAGACTTGATAATTGACTATGATTGACCAGTAACTACCCCACCAAAGAAGTGGGACAATAAAGCTTACTGTCTTGAGTAACTGAGAAAATAATAAACCATCCCCAGATGGAGAATTTAGGAGAGAGAAGCAGATTAGGAGGTAATACCACGTGTTTTGTTTTGATTGTGCTGGGAAGAGGATATTGGAATTGGAAATCACTCAGTCTCCTAGATCTTTGGACCAAGAAGGCCCCACTAGAGTAACGTCACCAAAATGCTGGGGCAGGCAGCTGCACGTGCACATCCTTCCACAAAAATATTGAAGAAATAGCCAGAAACTGTCCAACATTTTTTTCCAGAAATTTGGAAACAAGGGAATGCTCAAACAATACAAAATCAACTTAAAATGGCATGATGGTGTGGTGACATTTTTATTTGACCTTGTCTCACCATTTTGCCAGTGACAGTCTGAAAGGTGGCAGCCGGCATCTCCCTAATCTCTGGTTCCAAAGAGAATAAGAGATCTTACAAGTTCTTGTGTCTGCGCTAGCCTTTCTGCAGTCTCTGCCTGAACAGGGCATTCATGACTATTTCACTCGATCAGGAAACCACTCAGGTGAGAAAGCAGTGGGCAGTGCTTGCTGACACTTTTAAGTCACTGAAAAATCTTTGGGGCCAAAGATTATGGCTGGGACATGTGATAGATGACCTGAAATCAGGGGAGAAAAACAGAGAGGAGAGGGAGAGAAGAGAGGAGGAGAGGGGAGGGGAGGGGAGAGATTGATTCTTTGGGAAATTGGGGTATTTAAAACCACTAGTGCACCATGTTCATAGCAGCACAGTTTGTAACAGCTAAAACTTGGAAGTAGCCCAAATGCCCACCAACTGGAGACTGGATCAAGAAAATGTGTTTAAAAAAAAAAAAATGAAATGGAGTACTACTCCACCATAAAAAATGAGAAATTAGAGACATTTATTGCTAAATGGATGCACATTGAGGCGATACTCTTAAGTGAAATAAATAGGACACACGTGTAAATACCGAATAGTTTCTCTAGTGTGAGAAACTGAAAGTGTAAATAAGGACTAAAAGGTATAATAGATAATGTGAAATAGGAAGAAAAGGGGCAAAGGGGAAGGGGAAGTGGGAGGGGTAGGGGAAAGGAAAGAAGGGAGTGGAATTAATATGAGAAAGTGGAAAAATGGAAACAAAGCCTTTGTAAATAGGGAGGGATGGAGGGGTTGAAGGGAAGGCAGGGGAAGGGGGAAAAATAAGAACCAAGAGAGATTATGTAAAGGTGCAAATTTTCAATGATGAATGTCATTATATTGTATACCTAAAATGTACCAATAAAATTAAATTTAAAAAAAACCCACTAGTGGACACTAGTGAGGAATTTAGAAAGTAATGCACATGCCCATAACAAAATGTATGCTTTGAAAAGATCCTAGGTTTTCACCACTTGCTGATCTGTGGACTCAGTACAAACAGGAAAACAAAGAATTAGAACTGTCAGTGCCTGACCAAGCATTAAATAAGTGTTCCACCACACAATCTGCAAAACACTAGGGAAGGTATTTTGTTGTTACTTTTTGACCTGGCTTTTAAAGAACTGTGTAAAAAAAAAAAAGCTTACTGAAAACAAAATTAAATCTTTATCAATCAAGAAGAGCAGGGCCAGGGATTTAGCTCAGTGGTTTCACTGCCTGCCTCTCAAGCACAAGGTCTGGAGTTGGATCCTTGGTACCAAAAAAAAGGTACCTTGGAGAAGATGGAAATTTGACTTTGAAACTAAGTTATAATTCAAACTAGGTTGCTATAAATTTAAGAATATTATTATGATTCTCAAGGTAACCATTAAGAAATAACTACAACAATTATTTAAAATTTACAAAAACAGAAAAGAGACTCCAAATGTTGCACTACCAAAACAAACAAACAAAAAACTAAATACAAAATTAGGCAGTAAGAGAATAATTGAGGAAGAAAAGTACATAGTAGGACATACAAAAAACAAAAGCAGTAAGTCCTTCTTACTCACCAATTACTTTAAATATAAATGGAGTAGAGAGAGCAGAGATTGGCAAAGTGGATCAAAACACACAATCCATCTCCATGCTGCTACAAAAAACCTTTAGAGGCAAAGACAGAGAAGCTAAAAGTATAAAGTAGATATGTATATTTCATACAAATAGTAACCAAGAGATGCTGAGTGTTTATATTATTATCATAAAGATATATTTTAAGTCAAAAAACTTACAAGAGCCATAAAGGACATTAAATATTGGAATAAGATTTAATCCATCTATACAGCAATTATAAATGTGTATGCACAGAAAAACAAAAAATAGTACTGCAATAACAATTTAAGTCTTTAATACTCCTCTTTAAATAATGTATACAACAAGCCAGAATGCTAGCAAATAAATGGAGAAAATGAACAACGTTATAGACGAACTTGAGCTCACAAACTTATGGTCCACTCCACCCTTCTAAGATAGAACACACATTCTTCTCAATGACCCATGGCACTTTCTCTAAAATAGACTATTTTATACCACAAAAATTGTCTTAATAAATTTTTAAAATATTTAAATTACATGAAGCATCTTTTCCAAATATTATGGAATTGAGCTCAAAATCAATAACACAAGAACACTGGAAAGCTCACAAACTTCTGTAAATTAAGCAATATACTATTAGAACCAATAGGTTGAAGAAGAAATCACATAGACACACACGTGCATACACACACACACATGCAATTAGAAAATTCCTGAGACAAATGAAAGGGAAAGCAAAGATGGGATGTAGTGTTAAGAAAGGAATTTAGAACTGTAATTGCATTAAAAAGGAAAAATCTCAAATTAATAATCTGAAATTACATTGTAAAAAACTACCAAAATAAAAGAGCAAACTGGACCAAGATTTAGTAGAAACAAGAGAAATAAAGATTGGAATGGATATCAATGAAGTAGAAAACAGAAAAATATCAATGGATCCAAAATAGGGTCCTTTGCAAAGATCAACAAACTTACAATACCTTTAGCCACATCAACCGTCCCCAAACTTTCTGGCACCATGGACTGGTTTCTTGAAAGCCAGTTTTTCCAAAGAATGGATGGGGAAAAGGTGGTTTTTAGGTGATTCAAAAGAGCTCTTAACCCAGATCCCTTGCTTTCCTCAGTTCACAGTGGGGATCTCCCTTCTATGGTGATCTAATTCCCTGCTGATCTGACAGGAGGCAAAGCTCAGGGGAAGACTCCAGTGTTGGGGAGGGGCTGTAAGTAAGGATGAAGCTGTTTGCTCCTCCACTGCTCACCTCACAGGCCATGGTTGGGGATGCCTGAGCTGCACTGACTGAAAGAAAAAACAAGAACATGCAAGTTACTGGAACCAGAATTGAAAAAAAGAGACATTACCACTCACAGTACAGAAATGAAAGCAATTACAAGAGAATACTGTGAACAATATTATGTCAACCAAGTGGAAAATTGAGATGAAATATGCAAACTTCTAGGAAGCCATAAACTACCAAAACTGACTCATGAAAAAATAGAAGATCTATTAAGGTCAATAACAACTAAGGAAATTAATCTCTTCTTGGCCTTTTGGCTAAGATCAAGTGTAGTACAAATGAGGAAATTAAATTAGTAATGAAAAACCTCCTAACAAAGAAAAAGACCAAATGTCTTCATTGGCGAATACTATTAAACATTTCACTGAGAAATGCTGTCAATTGTCAAGCTTTCCAAGAGAAAAATCAAAGAGTGAAAAACAATCCCTAACTCAACCATGAGGCGTCATTACTCTAATACTAAAGCCAGACAAAGGAAACTATAAGAAGTCTCTAGAAAACATACCTTCTGAACACTGATGCCCCAATGTTCAACAAAATACCAGAAAACTGAATTCAACAGTATGTGCAAAGGATTATGCACCACGAACAAGTGATATTTATGCCAGGAATGCAAGGGTGTTAAAATGTGCTAATCAATCAATGCAATGCAGCACATTAATAGAATGGAGAAAAATACATCACTCAAGTAATGCAGAAAACAGCATTCAGCAAAATCCAACACACTTCTATGACAGAGAACATTCAGTAAATTAGAAACAGAGGTTCTTCAATGTGAGAGATGCCATGTTTGAAATCCTGCAGCCAACAGTCTGTTAAGTGGTGGAAGACTGAAAACTTTTTTCTAAGATCAAAAACACACTGAGATCCCTGCCTTTACCGATTCTACTTAACATAATATTGGAAGTTCTAACCATGGAAATTAGACAACTAGATAAATAAAACATATGGATTAGAGAGGAAAAGTTAAAATCTCTATTAGCATATGACATGGTCTTATGTAAAGAAAACCCTGGAAAAACACACACACACACATATGCATTTGTTAAGAGCTAAATCAGCAAAAGTTCAAGATACACAAGCAGCACATAAAAGTCACTTGTGCTTCTGTGTAGTAGCAATGAAATATCTGCAAAAAGAAATTAGGAAAATAATTCCACATGCCACAGCATCAAAAAGTAACATATTTAGGAATAAGTTTAACCAACGAGGCACAAAATGTGTACACTCAAAATACAAAATAATTCTGGCAGAAACATAAATAGGACATAAATAAATGAGATATATTCATGGATTGGGAAACCTAGTATTTTTTAAGATAACAATACTACCCAAGCACTCTACAGATTCAAAGTGATCCTTAACAAAAGCTTCATAATGTTTTGGGGGTTTTTTTTCTGTAGAAATGGAAAAAAATCTATCCTAAAATTTATATAAACTGTTCAGGGACTTAGAAGAGCCCAGAGAGTCTTGAAAAGGACAAAGTCAGAATATTCCCACTTCCTGATTTCAGAACTTAATACCAAGTTAATTGTCAAAACAGCATGATAGTGGCTTGACATATAATCAACAGGGCAGAACTGAGAGCACACAAATAAACCTTCACATCCACCATCATGTGATACTCAACAAGTGTGCGATATAGTAAGAAGAAAATAGTCTTTTCAATAAACAATGCTAGTGAGACTAGATATCCACTTTTAAAATAATAAAGTTAGCCCCCATACCATACTCATCATGGATAAAAAAATGTAAGTTTAAGAGGCAAAATTATAAAACTCTTAGAAGAAAACATAAGGGAAAATCTGCAGGATGCTGCATCAAATATCAGTTTCTTACCTACAATAACAAAGAAAAAGGCAACAAATGAAAAAGTAGATAAATTGAATTTCAATGAAATTAAAAACTTTGTGTATCAAAAGACACTCTCGAAGAGTAAAAAAGACAACATACAATGGGAAAAAATATTTGCAAATAATATAACTGATAATAGTTTAATATAAAAACATTTAAGGAGCCAGGGATTTAGCTCAGTTTA